ATAAATAGAAATTTATTTAAAATAATAAATACATTTATTAATCCCCTCTTAATATAATTTGAAAACGTGTTGAGCCTAAATGGCTGCCTCTTAAAATAAAATACTTAATAAGATTTTTGACCCTCAAATTTATATGCCGTGTAAATCCTCAAATTCCAAAATAAATAGGATTCTTATAAAGCTTCTCAAATAAATAGGATTTTATATCCTCCAACTCCAAATTCTTATTCTCAACATTACATTCTTATCTTATATGTCATGTAAATCAAAATAAAAAATTTAGCTTTATATATTATTTTATTTATATAATTAATGTAAACAATAACTTTTAGAATAAATAAATTATTTAAATCTTTTTAAAATATCTATAAAAATACATTGAAATAGTTATAGAATATTACATGATCTTTTTGAAAACGTGTTGAGCGTAAATGGCTGCCGCTTCGAAATCTTACTTGGCAACATTACATGCTTCGGCTTTTGGTTCGGATACATTCCTAATTAATTAAAATAAAATACTTAAAAGCTTACTTGACAACATTACATGCTTCGGTTTTTGATTCGGATACATTCCTAATTATTTAAAATAAAATACTTAATAAGATTTTTGACCCTCAAACTTATATGCCGTGTAAATCCTCAAATTCCAAAATAAATAGGATTCTTATCTTATAAAGTTTCCCAAATAAATAGGATTCTTATATCCTCCAACTCCAAATTCTTATCTTATAAAGCCTACTTGGCAACATTACATTCTTATCTTATATGTCATGTAAACCAAAATAAAAAATTTAGCTTTATATATTATTTTATTTATATAATTAATGTAAACAATAACTTTTAGAATATCTTTTCAATCCAACCATAAATAAATTATTTAAATCTTTTTAGAATATCTATAAAAGTACATTGAAATAGTTATAGAATATTACATGATCTTTCTAATATATTTTAAAGAGTTGAAATAGTTATACAACATGTGTTTTTTCTATTTTTTTATGTTTTATATTTTTTTTCAAACAACCCGTGTAGTACACGGGTGTCGTACTAGTACATATTATACGAAAATTTGAAGCTGAGAACGGATTCATTATGAACTGGCTCCACCTCAACAGTCTCATGTGATCTGCTCCACTTGCTCCGGTCTCATGTGAATGGCTCATGCTCCAATGGGCGGCTCCTCTTCTGCCCCAGTCCTAACTCCTATAGAGATAACTAGTTGTCTTTGCCAAAATTATCTACATATTTAACAACTTTACAAATTAGATCCCTAATATTTTATACTAGATTGAAAAAAATAATTGAGTGTAAATTAATAATATATATTAATAAAAAATATTGAATACATATTTTTGTCAGTAAATACAAAATTACATTATCCTTTATTTTAAAATTTGAATAATATTTTAAGCAGGTTATATTTTTTGAATTTATTATCAATATTTTCTTAAACTCTTTACAAATTAATTCAAACTTTTTATGAATATCCTAGAAATATTTTTTAAATACTTTCGTAATTTTTTTATTCAAAGGATTATCCTAAAAATATATTATAAATACTTTAATAATATTTTGATTCAATATATCTGATAATGTGCACAACCTATATTAATATGTAATTTTGTTTGTGTATATTTCATGTATTGTTAATATTATTTTTGTTGTGAAAGGTAAGATAAAATTATTTATAAATATAAATTACAGATAAAACTCAAATATATTATGAATAAATATAGTTATAGTAATTTAATAAATTATTATTATTTTTTGTGTTTTATTGGTAATATAAAATATAAAATAAATTATAGTTACGTGTTCTGGCGATTGAGGAGTTATAGTAGTTTAATAAATTATTATTATTTTTTATTTTTTATTGGTAATATAAAATAAATTATAGTTACCTGTTCCGGCGATTGAGCGAGAGAAGATAATGTGGACCACGGGTTCCTCTCGTTTTGCTTGCTTCACGTGGCTCCTCTGGCTTTGCCACCTCCACCTTGTGATTATGAAACTTGATAGGATTATTAAACATGTACCGTTCAACTAAATATATCTATCCAAAAAAATACCAAACCGATTGGCAGATGTTCCGTTCAACTAAATATATCTATCCCAAAAAAATATCAAACCGATTGGCGAACAAGATAGATGAACAACGTTAAATATCCTCAAATTCAAAAAAAGAAAATACCAAACAAATGCGTTCAACTAAATATATCTATCCAAAAAAATACCAAACCGATTGGCAAACAAGGTAGATGAACAACGTTAAATATCCTCAAATTCGAAAAAAGAAAATACCAAACAAATGCGTTCAACTAAATATATCTATCCAAAAAAATACCAAACCGATTGGCGAACAAGGTAGATGAACAACGTTAAATATCCTCAAATTCGAAAAAAGAAAATACCAAACAAATGCGGCGAAGAAGATAGATGAACACACAGCGTTACCTTCTAAAGTGATCATTAATACTAAAAATACCTCTTTAATAGTTACAATTTGTAATAAAAATATGTGCAGTTAGGTACCTTTAATTTATTTTTATTTAAAAAAAAAAAATCTTCTATTTTGTCCATCAAACACATAAAAGTTGTACTCAGCACACACATGGTATCCAAAACGGACAAAATGCAAATCTTACACGAGTATCTTTGAAAAAAAGACATGCTCTTGAGAAGCATGATCAGCATGATCAGTTGGCTGAACGTTGTATTTGGACAATCATTGTTCAAGTTTAAGCATATGGGACCCCTTCTACAAGATCCGAGATAGGCTTAGGATATGATCTATTGTTTTGTTTTACAAATTGTTAACACTCGAGCTTGTGAACTAGCCTCCAATGAGCAATTTGATTCCTGACGCGCTTCGTCCCGGAGAAAAGCTCGAAGGCCCCGACATAGCCCCGTTGGAAAAATGTGCTTTCCCTGAAATGGAGGCAGTCGAAGACCTTAGTGGAGCAACAGGGGCGGCCGACGGAGACGTAAGAGGCTATTCAAGACTATGAATTTGTTGTTATAAAATATTTGTGTTTTGATTACAACGAGAAACATATGAACTGAAAATGATGTTTTCGGTTCGTACAATTTGAACTATAAAATATAAAACAAAAATACAACTGAAAGCAGAAAGATCAGCTGAGGCGATGTTGCTCTTTCCGCAAGCCAAATACGCTATTGTGCTGACGGTTCAGAAGTCTGGTCTCCAAAGATACAACAGCTGACGTCTCGAAGGTTGTAACGCAACAACTATCGAGCTCTGACGAACTTGAGCGGAGTCGAGAACTGAGCAGTATGATATTCGTGAGGCTATGAGAGAGTGCAATAATGCAAATGATAATTTTCGTGTGTCCTGCAGTTCTATACCGTGTCTTATTTATATGACTTCCAATTCAGAAAGGTATGCCTTTTCAAGTGAACGGTCACATGCCCAAGTTCAATATACCTGGAAGGTCCCACAGGTTGAGCCAAAGCCCGGGTTCAAATCCAACTCGGTTCTTTGGCTTCAGAATTGCAAATAATTTTGCATAAAAAAGATACATAATGGTTGGGCCCAAGGCCCAAGCCTTGCACCAAGCCCAATAACGACCCAGGCCATTTAAGGCCACCCAATTTTAGCCCACAGTCCAAGTGCCAAGGACCAAGGACCAAGGCCAAGGCCCCAGTCGGCTCGGCTCAGCTCGGGCATCAAGCCTGATACCGTTCCAGACTGTTCACGGCCATCCAAGTCCAGCCAACAGCCCAATTGTCAAGGACCAATGCCCAAGGCTAAGGCCTAGGCCAAGCTCAGGCCAAAGCTGAGCCAGCTGGCCGACGGAGGGCGGGCGTGTGCGCGTGTGGCCGAAGCCAACACCAACACTTGGTGCATAGTTTTGTTGTTGTTGTGACCTCTTCAGCCTTCTTTATTATAATAAAAAAAATAGAGAATCAATATTATTTAAGAGCCCAATGTGGGAAGGACTTTTGACCATTCGAATCCCACAACCATGGTTTTACGTGTCTATTTATGGCTAACTTTAATAATTTATTTCTCACCTACCACAAATCAATCTTGAGAAAATAAATATATCAGGAGTATCTATTTGGAACGTAGAATTGTTTTACACAATTTAATTTAATCCAAATTAAATATTTAGTTATAAAAAATTCAGTCAAAATTGGATAACCAAGTTTTATAACTGATTTTCCCAACATTTGTTGCGCGCGTTGCCGGTGGCGACGATGAAGGCGTTGGTGGGGAGAATGGTGTAAATTTCGGAAGAAAAATTAGTCAATAAGTCGATTGAGGTAGCTGGATTGAGAAGGGTGCAAATTAATTTCTGGTGGCAAGTCGCTCTTCTCTTGTATTTCGGAATATGTTAAGATCGTGAAATGACCAATTTATCCTTCAAACATAAGACAAAAGGACAATTTTACCCTCAACTTTTGAGCGTGCGACTCGCACGCTCGCTTTTTCGGTGGAAAATGCCTCCAATGACCGGAGATTGCGATATAGAAAAACCGTGTATTATAAATTGCAAATAAAAAAAAATAAGTTGCAAATGCCAAAAATGCGGATTGTACATGTTGCAAATAATTATTTACCCATTTTAAATTTAAGGAGGGAAATATTTTAAGGGGACAACTATCTAACTTTAAAATTTTATACAACAAAATTTTAAAATCTATATATATATAATTACTAGCTCAAAACATTTAATAAAACCTATTTAATTTTACCTACGTGGCAATTTAATAATTTTCCCTCCAAAAACCGTTACATTTTGATGTATTTAATCTTTCATTCAATCATTAAATAATTAATACTCATCACTTCAAAATTACAAAAATTATTTTAAATTTTTGATTAATGATAGTTGACCATATAATGTGTTGACAGTATAATGTGATTAGATGTTATTATTGTTGTTACATTTATTTTTTATTTTTTTTTAAAATAAAAAATATATTTGAAATTCCTAAATAAATAATAAATAATTCACAAATAAAAGACGTACCAAAATATACATTACATCCAATCAGATAAACGCAATTTAAAAAAAAAAATATTCCAACTCTTTTAATTGTAAATTTGGTCTGCAAAAAAGTGAAACAAAAATAATTAATTTTTATATGTATACAGACTCACAATAATTTATTTATATCTGTGCAAATGCACAGGTCGAATACTAGTTGAAATAATTTTCTGGTAACAACTTTGCCATGTTAGGGATCAATGTAAAATTAGCGGATTTAACTTTATTTAAAGTTTGACCCGTCAAATATGCTAGTTGGGTAACTATCTTATTTAATTCCTTGTGTAGGCCTAAAATGTTGATTAAAAAAACACTTAATATAAGATCTTTTTTGTAAATAACATTCATAAATAATACGACAACACAACATTTCTATAATAGTTATACGAACCAATATTTACTGAACATTAATTTATAAATCACTAATACAATGTGTTGTCATTATTCACTAATACAATCAAATTTATAAACCTTTATTACAATGCTTATCAATTATTCACTAATATCCATTATTCACTGGAATAATAGCCAAATATCAAGTATACCTTAATGTTCAATTTGCAGTAAATTGCAAAAAATCTCACTTGGGTTGTGTTCGGAAGTATACAAGTTAGATTCATGTTTATTTAATTAATTTATAAGTTTCAGCTTGGTGTGGTATCACAATCTTTTTTAAAAAGTGCGAGCTTATCTGGCAAATTTCATTGAGTATCTTATCAAATAAGTTAATTGAAATTTTTATTTTAGATTAGCCAGTTTTGCTATGAGCCATCGGATGGCTCGACTTATGGAGTCATCCACATTTATTTATTAATAGTAGATTGACACGTGTCTTGCAATAAATACTAAGTCATCCACACTTATTCATTAATAGTAGATTGACACGTGTCTTGCAATAAATACAATTTGGACAGGTGTGGCTCCATAAGAAAATCATTCGATGGCTCCATAGAATTTTTGTCAGATTAGCTTATCAACTAATTTTACCAAACACTTTTATCATATAAAGTTTCAGCCATAAATTATAAGGTATTGACTATAATTTCAAAATTCACTTAAAAATTATAAGTTAACTTATTATTAGTTAGATGTATATCTTTATTTAAAAAATGTAATAAAATGTTTAATTATTGGAAAATTTCATTAACTTTTTGCGCAAAGCCTTCAATCTATTTGATATCTTTTAGCTCATAGTCCAATCGGTGCTGTGCTGCCCATTTCTCTGTAAAAATACAATTTTGTTCTGAACTCTGCAGAGCTTGCCATCAATGGCGAAGAAGCAAGTGCCAGCAGATAGAACCAGAAATCAGAAAACCCCCAAAACCAAAGAAAAAAATCCGGCGCCCCTCGCCGCAAATAGCAAAAATAAAAGCAGAAACAAGGGGTCAAAAGCAGCCGCCGGCGATGGAAACGTGGTCCTTGCGGTGCCGTCTCCGAGAAAGGGACTTGAAAACAACGCCGTCGCTGAATTCTGCGAGGCGGCGGAGGACCGAGTGGGCGATAAGGAAGAGAAGAAGAAACCCAAAGGCAAAGGAGAACAGAAGAAGAAGCCAAAAAGCAAAAGCGGCAAGGAAACGAGTGGAGAAGAGGAGGCGAAGAGTAAAGGGAAAAAGAGGAGTAAAAAGGAGGAAGACGACGTTGAATCGGACGTGGAGGAGAAGAGCGATAACGCGCTTTACAGGTTTCCGATGAATCGGGTCAGCAGAATTATCAGGAGCGAAAATCAGGACTATCGAATTTCACAGGAAGCTGTTTTCCTCATCAATAAAGCCTCGGTATGCCTTTTGATGTTTGTCCCCATTTCTGCAATTTAGGGTTTTGTAGCCAGATATGGTAGTAAGCTTGCTAGCTGGTGAAGAACAATCCTACAAAGTTGATTTGACCTGCTTGATGAGTGAATCAAGTTAATGCTGTTTGACCTGCTTGATTGTTCTGCTATCATTTTGATTTTGTATATTTAATCTTAACACAGTTGTAACTATCGATCATTTCTTAGGCTGAAGTTACTCTATATGTAATATTGATTTCAGTTTTACCATGAACATTGTATTTGCTGGTTTGCAGGAGAAGTTTCTTCAAGTGTTCTGCAAGGAGGCTTATGCTTGCGCATTTCTGGAAGACAAAAGATATACTGCTTACAACCATCTGTGTACTTCCACTTATTCCTATTTCTCTGTTTGGTCAATTTCAATATTTAGAGCAATGAATCATTGGTAATAAGCTTGTATGTTGTTTATATGCATTCTGAGCTCCTTTATTTCTTGCTTATGGCAGATTTTATCTTTCTGAAGGCAGATTATGATTCATTTTCTTCTGAAGTCTGCCTTAAGGACAAGTATTGTTGCTACATAGCTCAAATATTTTTTTTAGTATACCACGAACTCCAATGAAAGAGTAATAATTGATGTTAAGTTGATCGAGTTCTGTGGGAACTATTGACATATAAATTGGTTATCCAAAAAAATAGAAAAAGGAAAAAGAGTGGTCCTATAGTTTATGAGGAGATCTACATGCTGTATACAAGTATATTTCATTAGTTTCTACAACTCTGACAACTGCAACTTTTTCACTTGTGTTGGTAGTACTGTTTTTACATTATAGGTTGAGATTTGTTTTTATATGATGATTTTTATGTTAATTTTCAGTATCTACTGTATGAGTTTTGGTTTCCATGAACTTAAGTAGTCTCTAGTTTGTTTGTGCTATTTTATTAAGAATCGAGATCAAATGCATTATGAAACAATTAAAGTAGTAAATTTACTTTCGTTCTTGTTCTATCAATTGCTTTAATGTCGTCTAGAAAACATTTGAATTTCTATAACTAGAAATGAGGATTTGCCTTTTTTACGCTTAAACGCTGCCTTGGATTCGCATGTGCCTAATATATCTTGTTTTACCGTTCATTGCTCAAAGTGGCTTTCATATGACTTAATTCTGCTGCTATTGGAATAGCATTCGCACAATTCAAGGGCATGTTTTATTTATTGTGGAAATCCTATGAACAAATTTTATGAAATACTCTATTTTGTGATTGTGATCAAGAATAGATATACAGATCATACTTGGTTACACAAACATGATGAAGTAGCAACGCACATGTAAAATTTTCTTATACATTAATTGAAAATGTTATTCGATGTTATTCTCTCACGGAAATAAGTGAAGTAGCAAACAAAAATTCCATTGTTAAAACAAAAGAATTTCTTTGGTAAAAGGATGATGCGTGCACTTAGCAACGATTATATCAATATAATCGAAAATTTCCATAGTTACTGTTCAGATCATGATGTCCGTGTACTAATTTTTGTCACTCTTCTTTTTTCGCATGCAGCCTCTGCAGTTGCTAAACAAACGCGATTTGGCTTTCTCTCAGGTGAAAATCTTTGTTTGTTTATTATTATTATTTTGAGAATCAACTCTTTGATTCCGTATAATATATCAGTAGTTAACTAATTCTTCTTTGGTGCATGAAATTAGATTTTGTTCCAGAAAAGGTGAAGGCTGAGGATGCATTAGCTCAAGTACCAGCAGCTGATAAATGATCTGGATACAATTTCCTCGAGTTGAGAGTACAATCAGATTTTACTCTTATCTGGTGGCGAAAATCGAATGCAAAATTTTGTAAGGTAAGGTACATTTAATTGATCACTACATCTCTTTCATATGGAAACTAATTTTGAAGAATAGCAAATCTCCCACAGAGAAATTATCGAAGCTCGGTAGTGTTGTACATTCTGTTTGCAGTATGTTTTCATTCGAGCATATAACTATGATTCGATCTGATGTCCCGACTGAAGTAGATAGCAATACGACATTTTACGCTACTTTTTTTTTTCGTGAATTTCAATCAGAAATCATTTATTTTCAGGTGATGAACAATATGTATTTGATTCACATCTGATTGAGCCAATATTTGTAATTTTCCAATTTTTCTTGTCTTGTTGTGTGATATGCCGGAGAACACAACTGTTTTTGTTAGGCTGCTTAACCTTTACGTTCGTAAAAAAAAAAATGCATACTTATAGTATGAAATGTCACGTTTGTTTACGTTGCATATCAAAATATGACATTTATGTATGAAAGTAAATACATATGTTGAAATAGTACGATTGCCTAACCTTTAGATAGCCTAACAGAAAGACTACAGAGTTGGCAATCAACACAAGCTTGAAATCTCATTGTGAATTTGCCTTAGCCTGTTTAATCTTTATCTCAACGTATCTCCTTATTCCAATTATTGTCTTTTCTAATAGCATAGAAAGTTTCTAACTTCCAATTAGTGGTAATCTCAAAATCACAATAACCCAGGGGGGCCTGACTGCAAATCAAATTTCCATTATTGATACCAACAAATGAGGTCTGTTACAACTAACCAATAATGACTGCTGATTGAATTATAATTGAAAGTTGAGAGTAATTTTGTAAATCCTTCCCCACACACCCAAATTAAGCCCCACTTGCTTCAGATTAGTACTCTTCAGCAGCTTCATTTTTTGAAATTAATTATTAACTTTTTGTTTTTTGAATTCTTTAATTTATCCGATATTTACAATAAAATTTCGATTATCGTAAATTCAATATTTTGTGTGTATTTATAACACACCAATGACATGTAATTGGTATTACTATTATGTGATACAAATCAAATTTTAGTTTCTTTTATCTAAAAAGGATTGGAAATCATTTAGAGAAAAATATAACACTCACTCTCAGTTAACAAAACATGTCATGAAACAATCCACTAGTCAATTTATGATCCCCACAAATTGAACCTTTTACCCCATAAAACAATCTTCTAATCAAACTACACTCGCACAATTTGGACAAAACCCTTCACCAAACTCCAAATCATCCACCATAATTTGTGACCAATTCAATTGCCCAAATCACATGATTTCAATTTTCAAGCCATATATAAACACATCAACCCTCCATTAATTTTTTCACTAAGCATACACTCCAACATTCTCT